TACATTCTTTTAATTGTAGCCGAATTGTTTTATAACAACAGTTCACATTTAACATACATTGTGCATTTTTAGTTTCACTGTGCAATTTTTTTATCTCTAAAGACAACCTTTTTGGTAAAATATTATAAATAAAATAGTTTAACCCCGCATATAAGAACCTGTTGGAATTTTTTTGGCTAAACAGGTTCTTATATTTTGGGGTATTAAAGTAGCAAATTTCTGCCAGGAGGTTCTTAATTTTCTAGGTTCTTACATGCGGGTTTTTACTGTATCTCAACATTGCAGACGGAAAGGGAGGTGCATGGGTGTTTCAAGGATTGTGTGAGGTGTAAAAGGCCATCTGGTTACTATTACACACTGACATAGCGGCATGCTCAAATGTAGCAACCATGACCTAAAACGTATTTGATGCCCAAGGATTTTTAAAAGTATATGAGCAGAATCAGGAGAATTATTATTCTCAGGAGAATAAGCCAGACTTATATACCCAAAATATAAGGTCCAACGCCTGACCAGACATAGAGATGCTACAATAGGTCATGAAAGAGCCAAGCAATTTCAGGATAAAGTCAGCCACTTGTCGCAGAGATTCTTCTCCTCGGATGGCCATAGCAGTACACTGGAATATGAGTCTTATATTTTCTAATTGAGAAGTTTCGCTGCATTTAAAACAGCTTTTGTCTCATCAGTTCAAAGACATTTGGTTGGTGGCCATGTTTAAGTTACATTTAAGATCAAATTTATCAATCACCATGCCTTTTATTTTCAAGGTGGATGTATGTACAAGCACATTGTCTCGCTGATAATTAAAAAATATCAACTCTTTAAACTTATTAGGGCTTGTTTACAAGGAGGGAGGGTAACCCTGGTGCTAGGGTTACCCTAGCAAGAGCGTTAAACTAGCACTTGCACATTTCTTCTTTTTTTACGCGACGCGTTTACAAGGCAGATTGAGTTACCCTAGCAAGAGGGTTACCCTAGTCTGTCTGCCTTGTAAGCGCTCTGCTATGGATAACTCGTGACCAGTAACTCTTAAAATTTGAACAGAGTTATCCAATTTTTCGAGCCAAATTTTAAACATCTGAACAATATTAGGTATTTTCTTTATACAATGATACTACCTGTCTGTTTTTCCGTATAACATGGAGACTTCAAGATTTTGTTCAAATCTTGGATGTTACAAGGAGTGTTATTTTAGTCTCCACATGACGAAACATGCCAGTTAAGCTGGTAAAGTTGACCCAAGTCGGATGGGGTAACTCTACCTAGGAAATTTTGGTTGTAAACCAGAGTTACCTTAAACCTTTTTGCTACGGTAACCCTAGGACTACAGTTACCCCTTCCTTTTTTATACAGGCCAGATAACATTCTCAACAGGTTTTTGTATTGGAATTGTGTTACTTCCACACCCAATCTTTCTGCCTTGTCTGCTAGTACATTTCCTAATTTTTTAAATTCTAGGACCCTGATATTTGATATTAAAGTCTCACAGAATGATTACACAGCATCAGTAAACCTCCTCTGTCCCTTAAAGGTCAATTAAATGAATCAAAATTTCAACATTTTTAATTTTATTTCAATTCTAGTGGAATGTGTTTAATAAAATCAACCAAATAAACATACTATGAAGTTTCAGCTCAATTGAAGCAAGCATCTCCGAGATATTGGCAATTAAAAATTGCTATTTTTTGGCCCTTATTTTTGTTGAGTGGTCAGAAAATTTGTCGGCAAAAACAGCTTGTGACGTCAATGTTGGTCAGGTAAAAAAAAGTGGGAAATTCAAAACAGTGTTTTTCGAGTCCCCTTAGGTCAGAAGTTCAAAAATTATGGTGGTTTGTGCCGCCATAAACCTGGAAAGAACAAGCAATTTGTCTTCAAAGGTTGCAAGCTGTGGTTATAACCTTCTTATTATTTAATTTTCTCAAAGAATACATCATAGTAAAACGGACTTTAATGACATTAATTTCCTTGCGTTGTACTGGAAATGTGCGTGCGTAGGTCCAATTTTTTTAAGATGAATTCACAAAATGTGTTCATATAAGGAAGTTCCTGGATATATAAAGTCCGGAGCTCCACTG